TACAAGCCACATTACCAGCCTTTATGCCCTGGAGACAGTAAAGCGAGAAAGACTCGATGTATAATATATCTCTTTCTCAGGTAGGGTTTTTTTCCCTCTCTCAGTGAACGCTTACACCTTCGCTTGGTGTACAATTATCAGGCGTTTTGTAGGAGAGTTATTTGTTAATAAAAATTGCTGTTTTGTTTACTTTTTTAAATACAAATATTTTATTTTCAGGTTATAAAAATGCGTGTCGATAATCACACTCATTTAAAAATGCTATTGTTGAATTATGTTTCTTTTGTCATAATAAATATTGATTAAAAACGTGTGATAATTATGCACCAACCCAATAGGACGCTCTACTGACACGTACTTTTACATTTTTTTCTTTTACTACAGCTCATTCACTATAATGTTAAAGAGCTACTCAAGGTAGTTAAGAGAGATTGTTGTTGGCGCGTAAGTGATGGGTAACTAAAAAGAGCATAATATATGTTCAAAAGATAGTCTTTGACCCTAGATTTGAAGATTGTAGCGCTTGAGAAAGCATCTTCTCGCGAGCCTGTTCCACAAAGTAACCGTTTTAGAGAAGAATCTGTCCCAGCGGAATTTACTCCTTCCCAACGGATTTCAAACGGAAGGAGGATGACACGATATGTAGCATAGCAGATTTTAGCTGTAAAATCTGAACTTGTGGAATTAGGCAATGTAACTCGTTTGAAAATTTACAATAGATTAGTGAGACGCTGTCAACGTTTTGTTTTAAGGAACAAGGGTTGCAAACTGGAAACTCATTCATATCCACGTAATCGATTTGAAAGCCAAGTCTGGATATAGTCTCAGGTATAAAATCGTGCTCTACAAAACATTATTCAAAAAAGAAATATAACGTACTTTAACCAACTGGGTCGTGAGTTAATTTATCTGGGCTGTGAGATTTGTAACAGGAGGTATTTCGATTCTACTGCGAAGGAACAGAAGCATTGGTGTATTAAATACATCAATTGTCTTCGAGCTATTGAGCAACGCGCTTCAGATAAAACTGGTGCTGTACATGGCGCTTTTATAAGTGGTTTAATATCTAGTACCAAAAGACACCGGCTACCTGAGAAGGAAACGCTTGCTCTTACAACTGCTTTTGATCAAACAAGAGCTAGGGAACAGGTTTAAAAGTGCAAAGAAACATACTTAAAATTTCAAACAACTTTTAGTGAGATCTCCTTCTAGTGATAATTCGGGTACGTATACTTGTATCGACTTCTTCCATGCGCCAAGCGCTTTCAGCACACTGACGATCATGTCACTCCACAACTTCCTCTCTTTTGTTGCTTGATATAACATTTAACACTTTAGCTCCCCTCTTTGTTCATATTCTGCCATTCATTTACTCAAACTCGTTAAGTGGCTTACTCGCAGCTTCTCCCTGCTTGTCTTGCATTAGTTATTTACTGTGAGTGTTAACTTCTCCAGGCATTCCTAGCTAATTCAACTGCTTCTTCCTCCATGGAAACGCTTTTGGACGCCATCGAGAATGTAAAGTGATGACTGGACAGCTCCTGCTTATATATGTCAGCAGTACTGCATTTTCGGCTTGATCCGATTCTTGTAAAAGTAGATGATAGCAGGAGCGGGTCAGGTTCCTGCTAGAGCGGTACAGAAAACCGACCATTTATCCAGCTACTTCAGCGATGGATCATATCTACGAGTTCAACTTGACGTCTGGGTTGTGATTAAGTCTCAATAGGCGCTCAATGCACGGAACCTCCGTGAGGGACTCATCCGTGTATCGCGATTTGGGAATGTTCTGGATCCGATCGGTGGTCACCGAATGTCTCTAGTTTGGTTTTCGAGGCATTGAATGTGAAAAGCCAGTTTTTATTCCACTAAGCTGTTAGAGCTAGATCAGAGGAGAGATCAGCTGCCAATCTCCGATCATCTAGACCTATTAAACCTATATCATCAGCATTTGATATTAAAAAATGATCAGAGTATACACTTTTGCAGACCATTCATGTAAAATAAGAAGTGGTTTGGACCGAGAAGAGAACCTTGGGGAAAACCTACGTTGATGAGATCCCGATGAGGATCGAACTCCTATTACAGTTAGATTGAGGTACGGTTTACTCAGGTTGATTCTCTAAAGGATAAGTATCAACAGAATTAAAATAATTGGTGCAAATAATACTTGATTACAAATATACGTTGAAAAAATATTTATTGACAGTAATTGGCATGATTACTGTCTCTAAGTGATTGGTTGAATCTGCAGTTTTAAGTCGAATCCTTTTTACTGAAAAATCAAAATAAATACTGTAGCAAATAAAGAAGCCAAGTAAAGCGAAGAAAAGAAAGACCCTTCAAGAGGTGGCGATCGAGGCTCTTCACAACTACCTGTCTTTTGTAGCTCTTAGTAAGCTTTGGATTTTATCTATCCCCTATAATCCCTGTACTAGCAACCTAAAAGCTTGTTAGGTAGATTATTCGGGGATTTCTGACTCTCTTGCTTTCATCTGACCTGTGAGTTTCAAAGTTTCCAAAACCTCTTTCTTCATTACGTAATTTAGAAATTCCTACTGTCTCCCGTCCCGGGTATGACGATAAACTACATCCGCGTCCAGAGTAAGACGATAAACTACATCCGCGTCCAGGGTAAGACGATAAACTACGTCCAATAGCAAGGCCTCTGATCAGGATGTTTTGGGGAGCGTGGAAGCACCTGTTAACTGCTGGTGTTCCCAGGTCCACCCTGACCTGGGGTGGTAGCACCTGTTAGGGTCCCAGCTATGGGAAAATAGTTAACTCTCCCCCCAAACTGGGGTCAAAATACTATGAAAGTGTAAAAATCGGTTTTAATACCAGAAATACTTTGTAAAAAATATCACCATTCAAAAAAGTTATCAACTATATATTTTTTTAATAAAATATTTAAAAAATATTACCAGCGAAGTCAAAATTATTACCAGAAATAGATTTCTGGAAAAAATATTACCAACAATGAAAATTTTGACGGCATTAAATAACCAATTGAGGTTGATATGCCGTAAAGCAAACCAAACCAAATGTCTCTTTCTGATTATAAGTATAATTGCTCTTTTCTTTCTATTTTTTTTTAAACTTTGTCATCGATCATATTCTTCTATGTGCCGTGTCCCTTCAGGGTATAGACGATTATGGCTCTCCACAATTTCCTGTCCTTTCTAGCTTTTAATATATTATGTCTTTTGTTATATCTCCTAAACCTTGCTCTACCATTTATTGACTCACGCTCGCTAGGCTGGTTATACGAACTTTTCGTCTGCGCTGTGAGTATCAAATTTTCCAAGCTATCTTTTTTCATTATGTGCCTTAGAATTTTCAAATGTTAACGATAAGTGTTATCTTGTTTCCATTTTCTCTTAAAGTTTGTTGTTGCTCATATGTTGGTTCATGGTTTTCAAAACAACCTTCTATAAAACTACATTTCTCTTGCTTCAAGTCTCTTCTTCATACGTAAGGAGATTGTTCGGCATTTACTGTGATATAGGAGGACTCTTTCTTTCTTTCTTTCTTACTAACAACAATTTTTTTGTTTCTTAATACTTTTCTAAGCTTTTAAAAAGCATTTTTCACTATCCCAATGCGCCTTTGGATACCAGTTCCACACCTCCCGTCCTCTATTAAAACACTTTCCAGAAATATAGGGAAACCTGAAGGTAAATATCAGGTCATCCCATAAGTTCTGTCCGAATTTTAAATTTTGTTAAAATGAACGAAATTTAAAGAGTATTTTATAATTTCTAATGGAGCTGAACATTATTTTTATGTTTAGATGCACTTAAACTGATCAAAGTTTATTTCAGAGAACAATAAAATTAAATTTTGTTTGATTAAAACCCTGCTAACATGTAAGTAACCAAGAATCATTTGAGGCACATAATGCTTTATGAGTTCAAGAAAGGAAACTCAGCTGCCGAAGCGGCTAGAAACATTCACTCAGTTTATGGAGAGGAATTTGTGAATGAAAGAACTTACAGTAGATGGTTTGCAAAATTCAGTGGTGGAGATTTCATCTTTGAAGATGAAGATCGAACCGGACGTCCAGTTGAGTTTGATGAAAAGTTTCTTGAAGCAGCCCTTGAGGAAAATCCTGCTTTATCAGTTGAGGAATTGGCAGAGGTTCTCAGTTCAAACCATACAACTGTTCATCGTCATCTTCAACAACTTGGAAAAGTTCCTAAACTTGAAAAATTGGTGCCTCATGAATTGTCTGAAAACAACCTCAAATCCCGAGTTGACATCTGCTCTTCTCTCCATTCTCGCCAACTTGTTTCACCTTTTTTGGATAGACTTGTGACTGGCGACGAAAAATGGATCTTTTATTTAAATGTTAAGCGTCGTAGACAGTGGCTTGGTAAAGGGGAAGGACCCCAGCCACAGCCGAGAAGGGAAATTCATGGGCAAAATGTTCTTCTTTCAATCTAGTGGGATCTCCAAGGAATAATCCCCTTTGAATTCTTACCACCTAATGCAACAATTAATGCTCAAATATACTGTCAGCAATTAGAGTGTTTGAACCATGCTTTGAGGAAAAAAAGACCTGCTCTAGTGAATCGAAAAGAGGTGATGTTTCATCAGGACAATGCGCGACCCCACACAGCAAGAATCACGTCACAAAAGATCGAAGAACTTGGTTTGGAGAAAATTCCTCGTCCACCTTATTCTCCCGATCTTGCTCCTTCAGACTACCATTTGTTTCATAGCTTACAGAATCATTTGGAAGAATCAGCTTTTGTAACACAGGAAGAGGTTAAAACTGACATTTGTGAGTTCTTCGAATCAAAGCCAAAAGAATTTTACAGTAATGGAATTAGTAAGCTTGTTAATAGATGGAAGGAAGTCATAGATAATCAGGGAAAATACATTGTTGATTGAATCTGTAATTAAATGTAACATTTGGTCATTGTTTTCTTTATTCAAAATTCGGACAGAACTTATAGGATGACCTGATAAATACAAACAGATTACTATAAAGAGGATTAAACGAAAAGAAAGAAAACATGAGAGAAAAAAGGAAAAAGAAGACGAACATCTTTAAAACAAGTGAATAGGTCAAATGAAAAATGACGAATTCTCCGTCTTCCTTTATGTAGTTTCCACTCGAGCAGCTTATTTTCCTCGTAGAACCAAATTCCAAGTGGATGCTACTCTGATAACGGCAATCATAACCTATTCAAGTCTCTAGATGACCGTTAACTTTCACACACACACACACACATCCCCACAAACTGTGCCTCTTACTTTGTAACTCTCTACCCCGAGTGGTTCCTGGGCCTGGTACGAACATGTATTGTAAAAAGAGAAAAACGAAGAAGATGACCACAAAATGAAGATGGCGAGAACAAGTGACAAAGGAAATAGATAAGAGAAAGGAAATAGAAGCCTCTAAGAAGAGTCAAAAACAAAAAGAATGAATGGCGAAACAAAAGTACGAAATATAATGTAATAAAGAAAATAGAAAGGCAAAGAACAAAAACGTTAATAAACCTAAGAAAGTAAAGTGACGAGGAAAAAGAAGCGTAAGAAAAGGCAAAAGATGAAAAGAAAAAGGAAGACAGAAATGAGAAAAAAGTATAGCACGTAGCTAATTACAGGGACACGCAAAATAAATGAAATAAAGGTGTTAAAATAAAAAAAAATCTTAAAACATGTTGACAGTACATAACCAGTTCGCAGAAGACGACAAGATGGCGGCAACTGAAGAGATCGAAATGAGAAGTTTACGTAGAGATTACAAACACATTAAATGAATTTATCCAAGACAGAAATGATTCCTTTTGGAACAAAATTAGAGTTTATAGTTAATAATTTACTATCATTTTGTCACTTCTTGGCCAGGGAATCTTTTTTCTTGCAAACGACTTTGAAGTCTACATTATAATCTACAATAGAAAAGGGAAACGATTAGAGAACATTTTAATGCCTACCTTCTTGCTTCTGCCCAAAGAAATATTGCATTGCACGTTCAACGAGAAAAAAAAGAGATAGCAATATATATAGTTAGCATGAACAAACATAGATAGATAGATAGATCAGGAACATCATCACAGAGATATGTGTTAAGCATTATTATATAGATCCTGAGCATCATTATATAGATAAATAGATAGGCACTGGGCATCATGACAGTTGATAAATAATGAGTATCATGACAGATTGCATCATGGCAATGATTGATCGATCCTGAGCACCGTGGCAGATAGATGGATACACCAATTCTGAGCACTGTGGCAGATGGATGGATAGATCGATCCTGAGCACCGTGGCAGATAGATAATGATCGGCTACACTCGTCTGATTCGGTCGCCAGCCAATCATTGTTGTATAGATGATCATGTGGCCCTGTGCGTTGCAGAAAAAGATATATAAATTTCTATATCAAGACAATGTCGACTAAGAGAATAATAAAAGCAGAGGGTAATAATTGTTTAGCCCTTTAAAATCTAGAAGGCAAAAATAACTTTAACAGACGAAAATATTATTGATGGCACTATATATATATATATATATATATATATATATATATATATATATATATGGAGGGGAATATGGCAAAATATAAACAAAAAAGTCGTTTATAATTATGCATCGGGAAGAAACGCTGAAGCTGTACGAGAGCTTAATTTTAAATTTCTGGCCTCCGACATGTCTAGATGGAAACGCTCAGCCAATTTCAGTTAGGTTACCAACGCATATTTTTTTTTTTTTTTTTTTTGTTGTTGGTTTTAAACATCCTACACTGCGAAAACAGATGTGACAAGAAAGACGAAAGTTTAGCAGGGGAGATTCAGAAAATAGTGTTTTTCTTTTAATCAGCTTTCGTTAAATATGACGGACAAGGAAATTTTAATTTTTTAGTAAGCTTTTCAGTCTTCTTACATTTCTTTCCGCTTGGTGAGGGTAAGGAAATGAAAACATTGTCTATATTTTCTATTTTCCAAAGAGCCATCGGCCACTTATTTTGCAATTTTTAATCCCGTGTATTTAAACGCTGTTAATTTCTTTTCATGGCTGTTTAATATGTATTATTTGTGTTATTTTAAATACTAGTAGAAGTGTTTATTCTGAGCCTTTAATAGTGAAGCGCAGCTGGAATTCGAATGAGTGTCTTTCTATTTCGGCAAACACCCCTTGAAAATGGCTAAAGTGGCCAAAATCGCTTGGGACAATGGATAATATGAACAATATTTGCGCTCCCTTGCTCCCACCAAAACGGGAAAAAAATTAAGAACCCTGGAAAAACTAAATAAATTAATTTTTCCTTGTCATATTTAATGAGATATATATACGTATATATTCATTTCGTAGTCGCCTTTCGGGTCCAGACAAGATTCTGTCTTGCAATTTATTAGTGACTCCACAAGTCAAGTCTGGGCGCGAAAAATTTGGAGCAGCGAGGTCCCTGGAAGTTGGTGGTTATGATCAATCCTAATTTTGCACAGTGGTGTTGTTCTCTTTGAATAGTGAGTTTTCTTCGAATTTTGCAGAGGCTCTGTGGCCAATGTCACAACAACGCGATCGGTTGGCACCAAACACTTCGATTTTCTTTGTTCTGGCCATGCACAATGGGGGTTAGTTTTGATAGTCTGTATGCAATTTTCTTTGTTCTGTCTTGATGTATTCCACAATATAGTAGCTCTACATACAAGCATCTGAGAATGCGGAGTTTTCTATGTGGGTTACATGGTCAGTTCATCGGTTGGGAATTGATTCGATGCTAATATGTATAATAGACTGATATTGTCTGGTATCGTTATATTGTATTTAAATAATATCAAAAGAAATTATGCTGCGATGTTTTTCCCTGTTTATATTCAATACATTCTGATTATTAAACTAAATCAAATGCAAAATTGTAAAGATAGCAATCGATTCTTTGCTTTGTCCTCTTGCTATAAATAAAAAACAATTATAGTAAACGAAATTCCTTTTCAATATGTATATACTGTGAGACGCAAAAGCATGTATACGGTAAATCAATTTGATTTAAAATAACTTGTACGCGTAAGTTCTATGCTAAAAGTTTTGTCTGTAAATTTATTCCAGCTTCTTGCTTCCCAATAAACTTTGATCTTCAAGAATTTAAATTCTTAATTCTTGTTCTTTTATTGTTCTCTATTCTTAATAGTGTTTTTTTTTTGTTTTGTTTTGTGGGGTTTTTTTTGTTTTGCTTTTTGTGTTTCGTTTTGTATTTTGTTTAGTTTTTGTTTGTTTTTTGTTTTGTTTTTGTATTTTTTTTTTGTTTTATAATGTCAAACACTCGTTAACCTCTTGCGTCTTAATGATTTTATTGCCTTGCTTGGGGTGAAATGAAAAAACATAACAGTTTTAAAATACTGAAATAGATGTTATTTATATATAACAGAATCTACACCTTGTTTTATGTGCCGTGTCCCTTCAGGACGTTGGCCATCATAGACGCTATGCAACTGATGGTGTCACTTGAAAATCGAATGTCGTTTACAAATTCTTCTCTAAATATGGCATCATGGTCAAACGAAATTCTTCAAAAACAATGAGTTAAGTGAATTGTGAGGAAGAATATTTCCCTACAAATTTGGTCTCGGCCGTCGGAAGAAAGATATAAAAATGTCACTACAGCAGTAGAAGTAGCTTTTGCTGAAAACAGTCATTCTCGGTTAAACATTCTCTTCCCTAGTTTCTATTCTATTTCATTTCCCTGTACCAAAAGGTAATAAACTTGTTAAACCAATTCCCGTTTTTTTACTGCTGTTTTTGATAACTCAGTTGCAAGTTTGATCTCATCCTCGTCGCCATTTTATAGGACTACACAATCAAAAAAAATCGAATTCAACTTGCACTGAAAGAACTAACATTTTGATTGGCGAAAATATTCACCTACAGAGTGATAAAGCTTTTAACTGCAGAACATGTTTACCTAAATTTATTGATCCCAAATTCTATGGCATTGACTTTTAGATAAAACGTACGGATAACTTTGTCTATTTTATTCCTGTTGTCTCTAAAATGGGTTGTGAATATACATTCCATGCTTAAGATCATATTCTAACTTCAACATATACCTACAAATATTTGTTTAAATATTTAAAAAAAAAAAAAAGAATTACGGAATATAAGGCTCACTTTTTTTTTTTTACTAAAAATATCTTCTAAAATTCCCCTGTGTCTTATATGCCATATGTAGATTTAAAATTCACGAAATTAGATGACGCATTATTTAACGACGATAATAATAGTATTGAAAATGAGTATAAGAGTTTTGATAACGAATATCACGAATTTCATTGATTTGAAGATGAATCAAATTTTAATGGTAACTACCGTTTTGCTCAATTGTGATAATTGCTTGATTTTTATTTTGTTTTCTTTGGATATAAGTTTTTATAGGCTAGTGTTCTTTTTCCAATTATCTGTCGTCTAACTAGTAATCATGGCTTGTTTAACCAAAATAATACCTCATAAATATACATTTACTTATAATTTTACTAATTACTAATTTTTTTCTGTTGATTTGCCCTGTTGAAATTGGGGGGCGTCTTATACATCGTCAAATACGGTATACTATTTTAAATGATTATACTGTATTGATACTTTCTGTACCTCTTTTTTTACTCTAAAGTATTCAATAATTCTTTTATCACAATAATAAACGTGTTTTAGATGTTCTCCTGGATTGGTGAATTTCTATATATATATATATATATATATATATATATATATATATGAGAATATGCACGAGAATATATAAACATATATTGAAAGTACTTAGAAAAAAAAGGAATGAGAACAACTACGGCGTCTTTCTTAATGAGTTTAATGACAACACTAAGAAATTTATCCGTGAGGATTAAAATAAAATTATCCATAATGTCTAAATTATTCAACCAAACATGCTTAAACGGAGATACTCTCTAAATATACATATTTCAAGTATATATCAGAATAGGTTGAATGTTGTCTGTTAGATAAACAAGGATGGATTATTGATTTCGTCTCCATAAATTTTGTCTTCTGACAGTAAGTCCACTGCAGTGTTCTACCATCAGAAATTTTTATCAACTTATTCTCCGAATAAACATATAAAATAATAATAGAGAAAAATTAATATAAACTTCGTAATTTATTTTATTTCATCGTTCACCAAAGGAAATAATATGTTTTTTTTTTCAAACCAGTTAAGCTTAAAACTGCATGAGTTTGTCTTTAGAAAAAAACGTCTTCTGAAAACATTATTTTAATGTCGTTAGAAATACTTACTTCTGAAAAGTGTATTTTAGTCTTAAGAAAAAAATAACTTCTAACAATGTTATTTTAATTTTAGTCTTAAAATCCAACATTTGAAAGATATCTTTTAATGTTAGGCTTACGAAAAATAACTTTAGATATATATTAGAATATATATATATATATATATATATAATGGACTCTCCCGTCGGTTTCAAGGTAAACCGCCAGAAAACCCACACAAGTGATTTGATTAAAGTGGTGAAGGCTTGTGCAGAACCTATATATATATATATATATATATAATCTCCAAATGTAAAGAAGGAAGCATGATATTTCAGCGTTCAAAACATTAATTTAAAACAGAGCTCTCTACAAAAATAGAGCAGTAAATATTTATTTATTATGCAGTATCACATTAGAACATGCACATACCCACTACAAAATGTACATCTTGTCTTAACGTTAAAAAATTTTTAACCTTTCATCAGGTGGGAAATCACGATGCTATTAAAATATTTTATTCGAAAATGCAGTTATCGAAGCATATCTTCTGTCATTGGAAAGTTTCCCATAAAAGGTAAAAAAAGAATTAACATGTGGAGAAAGGAAGCTGAGTGATTAGTAAAAGCAAGAGGGAGAAGAGAAATAAGTTGGAAAAGGCCAAGAAAAGGGAAGAAATGTTTAAAGAAAAGCGGGGGGGGGTGATATAAACTAAGCAGGGACAAATTCAACCAATGGAATTCCATCGAATAATAGAATGTGAATTTTAACGGTAACCTAGAATTGTGAGGTTTATATTTCTAAGACAAAAACTTCCAGTGCTCGGAGACAATTATTCGGGGAATATAACAGTACTACAGTATTTTTTGAGACGGACTTTCTAATACATATTATAATACTCAACCGATTTTAAATCTTTATATTGTCATATTACTTAACCAAATTTTACTTAACAATATGAATTTGAATACTACTTACATTTTTGACTTTTGTGTAATTTTTTTCAGTACAAAGCGTTATTAAAGAGAAAAATAATTAAAGTAATACAACGAATAAATTTTAAAAAAATAAATAGGTGATGGAATCGAGATAGAAATAAAGGTAAAATAAAATTATAATTAATATTAACCTTCAAATTTCAATAAATTAAGATGAAAAAAGGAATTGATGTTATTGCATATTAAAAGGTTAAAAAGAAGAACGGGTGATATAGATGAGCTGGGATCGAAATCCGACCGATTCGGTGCGAGTCAGAGTTGTCACCATTGGGTCATTAACACACCGTTCAGAGATACTGCTAATTTTATGTGTATTGCTTTTACGAATATGAAGGAACATTTGAAATTTCTATATTATTATATTAATTTATAATATATTAATTATATAGTATTATTAAAGGGGTTAAGTAACCCCGTTTAAAACAAATAATGGATAAATAATAAAAGTAACCAGAATGAAATTAAGATTATTATATATAACGGTTAACTTATAGAAGTAAGAATAAGTTAGAACATTTTAGGTCTAGAGTTAAATTTCAAAGTAAAAATAGAATGAATTATGTAATATAAGTAAAACTAGGCTACATTGACGGAGATTCCGATGTTATGTTTACAAACATAAGAGGATTCATTCGTAGATGAGAAATTTCTTTAGCAAGATTGTAAGGTTAATTCTTTTGTATGTTTACAATTTATTGCCGCTTCATATCTCTGATTCAACAGATTGTCCTTGTTCGAGCATTTAATTATTTGTATTTTCTCTTGTAGGCAGAGAGAGCAGAGTTTGTTTAGAGACCTCAAGATTCTAGCTTGTTTTTAGGATTTTCCATTTAACTTTAGGTGTTTTATCTTTGTATTTTTAATTCCCAAAAATCCTTAGAAAGGGAAGTCATGCTTCGTTTGTCGTCGTTATTAAAAGATGAGATATGCGTATAAAAGCGCTTTTTTTTTAAATCATTCATTGTACTGGTGATGTATCCGAGTGTAATGAGAACGAAATTAATATATAAATTCTAACGTTCACAGCATTAATTCAGAAGTGGGCTTAATACCGATAGTAGGGCAATAATTACTTATTATAATTTTTTAATATAGAATTTTTTGTCTATAGGAAAACAGAAAATAAAGAATATTTTTTCATACATAAATTGTTTTGTCTATAGGAATATATATATATATATATATATATATATATATATATATATATATATATATATATATATATATAAAAGAAATATGTTGTAGTGGTTCCAACGAGAGAAAAGTATATATATTAAAAAGAAGAGAAGAGAGGTGCCGCAAACGTTTTTGGTTGTAATGTGGATTTATTTAGAAAAAATATTATGCTTTGTTTTACATAATTTTACGACACGTGTTTCTAGTCTCGCGACCGTCTTCAGGTAAAAAGCGGAGATTTCACATATTATTAAAAATAATTAATTTTTTCCTTATGTTCAATGTTAAATATTCTCGATATGAGACATTCTCTGTTTGTGTGTTGGTAATCTGAATTTCTTTCTTGAATTTAATATATATATATATATATATATATATGTGTGTGTGTGTGTGTGTGTGTGTGTGTAAACGTTATTTTTAAATGGAAACTCTTATTTGAGTAGATGCTCTGTTTTTTTATTTATGAAACGGTATATTTATTTATTTACAACTACAGGGAAACTGTTATTAGATTTGAAGTGCCACGTATAACTTCCTGATGAAGCAAGGCCTGATGAGTGCTTTTTCACTTTTCTTCCAAATTCACGGAATCTGGATCTCTGCTCTGTTTTTTATCCTAACATAAACAAAGACGATTTTATGAAAATTTAAAGTATCAGCTTAAAAATAACATTTCAAAAAATATAATATTTATATATATATATATATATATATATATATATATATATATAGAGAGAGAGAGAGAGAGAGAGAGAGAGAGTTTATGCAAAATTAGGTAATCCGTATGGGTAGACCTGAGGAGGATGATATCCAGAGAGCTCAATGTAAAATTCAGAGCAGATATGTTTGAATAAAAGACAGACCACGTTAAGATTCCATGTAATAAGCTATTTCACCATAACCCCTTTAACAGGGTTCTGGATCATCAGACTTTACTTCCAAAAGCTGAAATGAAAAATGAAAAGAAATTCACACGTTTTTTACGGACCTCATCAAGTATACGCAAAGTTAACGAAGTGAGGTGGGAGAGAGGATATGAGTGTGTCATATGTATCATTTTAGTTTCCTATTTTAACCCCAGTGTGTTGGCTGGATGTTGTTCAAATTTATCGCGTCTCGTCTCTAGATAAAGGTGGTTAAGGGTGAGCGATAAGGACTACATTAAAGGAAGACGTTACAACAACCCCAATAAATTACACGACATATATATATATATATATATATATATATATATATATATATATATATATATATAACACGACATATATATATATTACACGACATATATATAAATATATATAAATTATGACATATATATATATATATACATAATCATACAATAGAAATTAAGATTGCTTTAGGTTAATGATCATATTCACCTTGTAAATTGAAATAAAATTCACCAACAGTCAATGTATAAAATATGTTGCTCTGTTTAATTAAAACATTGAGCTCTATCTGTGAATCAGGTTTAATATTTTATATTGTATTAATAGAATTCACTTGGATTATATACCAACGAATTATTACATATATATATATATATATATATATATATATCAGAATTAACAGTAGGAAAACTAGTTTTAGCCGACGTGTTTCTTCCAATGTAAATTTTTTCAAGGTAGA